TTTTATTTAAAATAGTTTTCTCATTATAAATTAGTATCAAGAGGCCTGACTCTAAAAGAATCAAGCAGACTCAGCAATTTGTGGACATCATACCACCCTTGAAATTTGAAGCATTTCTTCCAAAATGTTTGAAGAACTCATGTATTATCATCAAAATTATCTTCATTACGCACTAGGAAATAGTTTCGCCTGGAAGAAAAAAGCATTTACTTTAAGTTTTAATATTAAATTATGTGGCCAAAATGTCACTTAGGCCAAAAATAAATGCAAATCACAAAAACATTACATTTCAGGAAACACATACAAATAAGAGACCAGCTCTGATTCATAGTAAAGATTTGTTTTTCTCAGCTAGGGCCTTCAATTATTGTTTAAAGGAACTAACTTTTGGTATAAAGCCAGTTTTATCCATCTTCTCTAAGAAAGATGTCAAAACATTTTTGTGGTATGTTACGGCCATTTAGGCCTAGAAATGAAAACTAAGATGAATCTCAAAAAGAACGAAAAATTGGTTTTGCTATATAGAATATAGTTTAACTGAAGTATTTTAGCACGTCAACGGTTATCATACGCTTTTTGACTATGCAATAATTTGAATTTTCAAGATAGAAACTTATGACAATTATGACCTTGTGAATTTTGACATTTTCAAGAAGTCATTTAAATGAGAGAAAACTGTACAATAAACATGGAAATGACTAGCTGTTTAAAAATCACTATAATTCTTGAATTCTTATGACAAAGAGACATGTCACTAAAATCTTGTCACAGTATTTACACAACTGGTTGGACTTAAACTTTCAATTAATGCACATATAACTGATAAGCATCTAACTGCCATTACCAGTTTTTATGCATATTAACTGAAGAAGAAATCTAAGATCAGCAGAAATATTACCCGGAAATAACTGAGATAAAAGCATTTTTGCTGTTTTATATTTCTATATAAGGATTCAGCTTTCCTCCTGTTCTGCTAACAAATACTATTGTAGTAACATGGTTTCTGCCCTAGAACATTCGATATTATAGGAAAAAGTAAATGAATGACCTCAATACACAGGATTATCCCAAGATTTAGTGGGACTTCATCAGAAAGATTTTATTCTACTTACTACTTGTACACAGGAGATTGCACATATGCAATGTATAATTTCAGCCTAAACATTTACGTCAAAACTTAAAAACTGTCTTTTCCCTCTTTCAAACATGTAACTAAAATATACACTTGGGTCTGGTGAATACATACATATATATGATTACTATTTGTTGTGCTTTATTGATGTTTTACATTCCTGCTCCTAACATCAAAAGAAAACAACACTACAGATAAGTTCAATAAAGTTGCCTTTTGTAATTTTTTTAATTTAAATTTCTTTCCAAAGATATGGCAGTGATTTTATCCATGATTCACAGAGTAGCACAGTCTTAACGTACTTAAAGGTCAATGCTTTAAGTATATACTTTTTAGCTCTGATGACATAGTCTCTGACTTCAAATCAACAAAAGGGAATCAACACCTTAAAGAGCTGAAAAGAGGCCTGGAAGTAATCAAATTCAAGTTTTTATTTAAAAAGGCAGTCCTGTCAATTAATTGCCAGTCTCTGCTTGCACATTGACTGAATCTTTACTTCATGAAGCAGCTAGTACTGTGTAGTGCCTTAATATAGAAAAAATCTGTTTCATTCAACTACTCCCTATTGGTTTGAGACTTGTTCTGTTCCGGTTCTTCCTGTATTTGTTGGTAACTGTCATGCCTCTCCTTAGCTATTCCTCAGCGGTCTCTTCTCCAAGCCCTACATCTCAATTCTAAGATGTATGTTCTTTCCTCACATAATAGATACATTTTATAATTGGTGGCTTGTCATAGTGTGAACTTTTTCTTAGTGGTACATAAAATGGTGTGCCTTACCACAATTGATGGCAATTAATTTGCTGTAATACAGTAATTCTCACTTTAATACTTTTTCAGTGAGCCACAGGCACATTAAGACATTCAACTCCTTATGTACAGAACACTATCCAGCCAGTCTTTCCTAGGTTATGTTCTATGAAGTTAAATCTAATGTCTTACAAAGCAACTGATTTGAAAATCTTGAGTTACTTTTTAAGATTGCACTGAAATCTTACTTGTCCTAATTCTGCTCAAGTGACAAGAATGAGCTTGCTTTTCATTGACAGCTCTTGAATTTGATACTTGAAGACAGATACCATGTTTCCAAAATTTTATTTCTGTTGTTTTGTATATTTAAAATTTACTCTAAAATGGGAATACTACAATGTATATAAAATGCCCACAGCATTTGCTGGGCAGCTGGAAGGCATGCTACACCTCCCTCCCCTTCTGCCTTTCCCAGGCATGGAAGCTTTTATAATACAGCATTCAAACAGAACATGACTACTTTCAATACAGTGGGCTTCCTATTTTTTTCTGAATGCTATACTTTTCTTAATGTGGCTAAAGATTACATTCATATTTTTGGCAACAGGATCACAATTCTTACTGATCAATATGTGAACCACTCAAATGTTATAGTCACCCATCCTTTATTAACAACCAAAGTACAAAACCAAGTCATTTTCTTGATTGAATGTATCCTATTTGATTCAACTCAACACACCAAACTACTGGGTTAGATTTAGGTCCTAATTTTGACCTTCAATGTGTTTACTTGCTTCATCTTCCATATCTGTCATGTATTCATGGTATGCTCTAAGTCACTGGTAATGCCAGTGGCAAGAAGACAGCCTTGTGGCCTGCCATTAGGATCCAGCTTTTACAAAGTAAATGTATCTCAATGCCTGGCTTAGTTCATTCTCCAAAAACTATCTTAGTGGAACCTAGTTAGTGGGTATTTCTAGATCTTCTTTATTAACTACATAGACAAGCCATGGTTAACACTATACAATCCTGTTTACACACACACACACGCACACAAACACACACATTTAGGTTTTCAGCAACTTTTTGCAAAATTGAGCTATTAAATCTAAGTTAAATGAGTCCTCCTTTACAGCCATGCTCAGATGCCACATATTTTATGAGCAACGGATAGGATATAGCAAAGTGTAAGATGATTCATCAACTAGAGAGGCTGTAGAGTGGAAAAATTTGAAATATTTAAAATTTATTAAAAATGCTTAAAAAGATTCTTGTGAAAATGAATTTATAGCAAAACATAATTGAGTAAATTATCTCAAAGCCCAATGCTTTATACACTTTATTTTCAAATTGAAATACCAACATTTATCAATCAACTAGTATTTATCAAGCACCTGCTATGTCCCAATTTCAGTGTCAAAAAGAAACAAACTAGTTATGTGGCTGGCTTTATACATACTTTAAGAATTTAGATCAACTTTCAGTTCTTAAAATGTATTATATCTAAAGAAAACTATTTGTGTAGTGAAGTCTCTGAAAATAGAGCTTTAGCATATAAATTATAGTACCACCCAAAGAATTATATTTGAAACCAAATAAAGGATTTCCCTTTGAAATTAAATAGCTTTTATTCCTAGAAAGCCAATCATAGTTTAATCTAAAAAAATTTATTTAACATAGTGTACACATCTATTTCACTAGCTATATAGGGGGAAATTAACAGAATTAAAGCTTTGAAAGAAAATGTGAAATATAATTGAGGGTTGTCACCCTCTACATGTATAACCACATTATAAAATCAAGGACTATTATAACCGTGTTATATTTTAAAAATTTAAAGTAGTGTTTTAAATATTTCAAATAGAGTGACTTGTATTTTGAAGTCCATAGCATGGTAATTTCTGATATTAACAAGTTCTAAAAAGCTGATTAACATGCAAGAGTTTCTTCATTGTGATGATTTAGGATAAAAAGAGCTCACAAAAATGGAACAGAGTGCATTTAAAACTCTGTATATGGTAGTTAACAAAAAAAGAGAAAAAATTAAGAGCCAAGATAACAAACCACTTGATATGAGCTATCTTATTTTTCTGAGTTGTTCATCAGTACCAGCCATGATCATGCTTCATCTGAGACTTCAATTTATATTGTTGTTTATATTTATCAGAATAAAGATCCCCTTCCATATTTTTCTTCCCATTTGTTTTTTGTGGTTATGTAGGAAAAGTTACATTTTATTTTACAAAGTGAATTACTAGAAAAAAAATGTAATCTTTTTTATGGAATGATTTCTATGATTTGATTCTCGTTTATGTCAAGTAAGGTATAGTGTTCTCTGAGGGTTTTTGCACAATAGATAAAATAATTACATAGTGCTATCTTTCCTACTGAGGAGATGCTTTGGTTTAATTCTGAAAGATAGTAAATGCTTTTTTTTTTAAAAAATGTCAGTTTCTCATATCTCAAAATGCATAGAAAAACATAAACTTTAAGCCACTTTATATTCCTGATACACAAGCACAGCAATGTCATAAATGCTTCATTTTCAAATGATTTGGTTAATGTCAACAGACTTTTACTATTCATAGAAAAATAGGTTAAAAATGCATTGCCTTTTTTCCTACTCTCTAGTTCTGCTGTGGTAGCTTCAATCTTCAGATTTTAAAAATACAGTATGTGTTAAGATGGGAAAAGAATCCGTCAATTTGTAAATATGAGATATCTAGGCCAGCAAGCTTAAGTAAAGTCTACCCATTCCCATCTTACGGCTTACCTTAATTTGCACATTACTTCTTAAAGATGAATCTCAAAGGTCTATCAAGAAATTTCTCCTAAATTTTTCACAGAAGTACTATGGTTGAGTTCCAAGAGTATTCAGGATGTTTTATTTCTAATGCTGTCACAATCCATTTTAAAAATATTTTCTCTGATTAATACTGTCTACGTTTTTAACCTACAAGTGAAACGATTCACTATATTTCCATTATATTACTTGTTGGAAGCTAGAAAAGACATTTGAATCACACCATTCAGTTTGATATCTGTAAAACTTCAGTTGTTTTCTGTATTTTTCATGTTGAAGAAATAACTTCACAATTTCAAATCAAAGCCAACACTGCAGTGAGGAGAGCTTTTCTACTTTATTACAAAGAGAAGAAGCCTTTATGTGGTCAGAAAATACAAGATTGATCTTTTTTCTCTTCCTATGAAACGCTGCTGTTCAAACAGCCAGAGTGAATCGTCTCAGTTCACTTCTTTAAGTCCCATCACATTCACTTGGGTATGGATGTCCTTGGCTGCTGAAAATCTGGCCCTTTTAGTGCACAAGGCGACAAAGTCCCCTGACCAGCAGTTCCAGAATGTCCCATTTTCATATATTGCATCCATGCACACCTCCTAAAAATGAGGTACAGCAGGGCAAACATTTTCCAAAATAGATGTCATATATATAATATATACACATTCGTACATACATACCTTTATTCATGTGATGTCCAAAAATTTAAAAAAAATGTACACATTTATTACAAAATCGTAACAAAGACTGGACAGTGTTTTGCTCATTCTGGAAAGATGAAGCTCAGTAATAACACAACCCTGGAAAACCATCCAGAGATTGTGGCAATATCTTTCTTCTAAACAGTCAGATATTCTTGCATTAAGCTTGGCGAAACTGCCTTTCAAAAACAGAAGGGGAAGTAAAATGAAGGAAGCAGACCTTGCTCATCTTTCCAAATGAAATACGAGAAGGATCTTCACATAAAAATGCACAAACATTTGTTATTTTATTACCAATAGTGCTACAATGAACAATGCAAATTTTGTGGTCTAATTGTGTTGAGTCTTTTGTAGTTTTTCCTTTTTACATTTTAGAAACTATATGGTAAACTTCTGTCAGTGTATTTGCTTGTCTTTACAGACTCAAGTCTGTCTGCTGGCAAAAAGGAAATAAATGAAAAAAACTTCAGACCCTGCTCAAACTAGAGAAAAACAAATTACAAATTTAGTTGTTGGGCAGCACATAATTAGTAAGGCAGGACCTCAAATGGTGACCCTTTGCTTAAGCCAATTGCCAGATCCTCAAGGAATTAAAACCAGGGTGCCTGAGCCACATCAGTTCTGCAGTTATGTTGAGTATTGTGCTGAGACAGCCATACCCCAAGAAAAGGGAAGTCTCTTTTTTTTTTTTTTTTTTTTTTTTTTTTTTAGAAGGCTTGCTGAGCAGGGTTGTAGTTGAAGGTGGATGGCAGGTGAGGCCGTTCTTCTAATTTGTCATATTCCAGATGGAACTCCTATAAAAACAAATTTGAAAATTTAGATGATATCTTTCCCTTTTCATCTCAAATTATTGTCAAAATATATTTTAATATACAAATAAAATACCCAATATATATGAATCAACATCAACACAAATATGCCAACTTTTTCCTCTACATAAACTACAGCTTGAAGAAAAATAATGTGCTGTAGTTTCTAACTGATGAGTACAAAAATACAGACAGATTTTCTGTGTGTAAGTGAAGAGACTACTAACGAACATTTGACACTGAAATGTTGTGTAATGTTTTTGGCTTAAAAAAAGAGAGGGCAATTACTGTATCTCTAAATCACTGGAAATTACAGGATATTTAAAATAAAACCCTTCAATAAAGTATAAAAACCTAAAAATTTATTGTGTCCATGAAAAAAGTTTAGAAATAATTTTCCAATTTGTCTTTCTTATACTTACATTAAAAAAAAAGCAAATACATAAAGTTACTCTAACCTCATTAAAATCTGGGGAAAGCAATGAACTTAAAACTCACGCATCAACAGACTTGCCATTTCACAAACCGAAAACTCTGACTCAAAGGTAAATCAACTGCCACCTAAAACTACACAATAGTTTTACTGTAGCAACATTTGAAGACTAGAACTAGATAGCAGCTCATTTTAATCAAACTTTCAAAATGCTGTATTAACTTCATGAGTCTTGAAATTTAAGAATGGTGAAATAATTTCTTCATGATACTTCCTACCCAAGATCAAGAATAGAAATGCAGAATATAACTATGTATGTTAGAAAAAAAATGCAAACAACAAAAAATACCTCTGCTGCAAGCCCAAAAAGCAAGAGGCTCCAAAAGCCTCTTATCAATTCTATAATCTGAATGAGCACAAATTATCACACAATCCAGCTTAAAGAATTATGAAACTTAATAGGCATTACGTATTAAAGATTAAGCCAACAAGTGACATTAGCAACTGTAGTTAATATATTTTACCATATCTGTCTGGTTTCAAACTGATTCCATGATGGATATTTCCATTATTAAATTAAAATGAAAACCTATAGGTTATAATGGTCAAATTTTAAGATGGAATACCAAGTATTTAAAATTTAAAGATATTAAATTTAAACAAATTTAAAGATATTACAGACCTAACAGGCAGAGTTTATTGAAAGCCTAATATGTGACAAATTAGAGATACAGCTAATTTTATTCTAATCTTTGTAATAATTTTGTAAAGCAGAATTATTTTCATTTTGTACCTGAAGAAAATGAGGCTTACAAGTAACTTGGCCAAGTCATACAGTGAGTGCAACACCTAGGATTAGGATCCAGACCCATGTGACAAAAAAACCTGTGTCTTTTGCAGTATAACACATCGTTTTTAATCTTTTTAGTCCAAGATCCAAAACAGATTCATTTACTTCATTACATGGCAATCCAGAAATGCTGAAAAAATTCAGTCCCCTTCTCTCTTGGTATAAAGAAAAAGGAAAAAAAAAAAATCAGTCCCCTGACAAGTTTATAAAGAAGGTAGACCATGGTGACTTTTACCTGTAAAGGTTGACTTCATGTGACTGGTACAGTAACTAAGGCACAGAGGTTATTTACTTATCAATAAAAATTAGCAAACAGCAGAATCACCACCATAACCACAACATCCTGCCCTGATGCACTATGTAGCCACTATTCTCCTTCTCCCCAGCCCTAGCTAGGAATTGAAGTAATTTTACTGCTTGGTTCAAGTTGAGTATCTGAATTTGTGAAGAGGAAAATATATTCTTATGATTCTTCTGAAATTAAAATGGGCATTTTTATTTTTAAAATGTGTAGTTACAGGGAAAAAAGTCTATTTGTAATTTTGACAAAATGAGAAGTTCCGCTGAATAAGTTAACTAAAATTTTTCACATTGGTGAACTACATTGTATTACTAGGAATTCAAACGAGATTAACTTTATGAATGTACATCTTTTCCCCCTAGAAAAATATCAGTTTAAACCTAAGAAGCATAAATAACTTTGATAAAATTTTAAAAATCTTCACTCTATCAGAGATTTGGAAATTATATAGATCAAATTTTGCCTTCCGTGTTTTTCAATCTTGTTTTCCACATATTTTTATTCTTTTAAAAATATATAACGGTTACTTTGATTACTGGTAACACCACTTACATGTTTGTTATATATACACACATACTACATATATGCATATCCTTGTACATTCTGTAGAAGCAAGTCTCTTCTCTGTATACTACTATCTACTATCTAAGCCTCTAGTGGGCATGTAATTAACATGATAAATTAATAAACACAAGCTCTCTTCCTTTGTCTCAGGAACAGAACACTTAATTTTTCTAATATCAAATAATACATTAGAGAGGGTGTATTTATGTATTTGCTTGTAGTGGAAAAAAAGGATTTCTAAATTACAACATAATGACTACAAAGCTAGAAAGAATTCCAAATAATTTTTAGGCAACTTTTTAATACCTCAGTTCTTCTAATTAATAAAATTAGGCTATGTATTCTCCAAAGGTTACTTGTATTCTCCAAAGGTTACTTGTTCAATTCAAGCAAAACTGAATGAAATGTTTTTATATAATCAAATAATGTTACAAAAAACTGATGTAATCACAGATCTAGTTATGTAGAGAAACATACACCATAGATATGTTTTCTCAAATTCTCAAGAAATGTCAGCTTTCTCTTAACTACATGTTGAGTATCTCTTATATGAGGTGCCTGGGAACAAGAGTGTTTCAAATTTTGGATTATATACAAAATGAGATGGGGATGGGACCCAAGTCTAAACATGAAATTCACTTATGTTTTATATATACCGTATCCACATAGCCTAAGGTAATTTTATTTGTGCATAAATAATGAGGTTTGTGTACACTATACACTGAACCATCAGAAAGTAAAGGTGTCAGGTACAGAATTTTCCACTTGTGACACCACACTGGCGTTCACAAGTTACAGATTTTAGAGTATTTAGGTTTTAGATTTTTAAATCAGAGTGCTCAATCTGTATAGTAAATCCATACTAACTTAAATTTTAGGAAGTAGCAAACTATCTTAAATACAGTTATTAGAAATAATCTTTGAAGTACATATTACTAAAGTATAAAAACTTACTAATATGTAACAGTGGAATTAATGAAAAATCACATTTACATCAGACTGTCACATACAAAATCTTAACTGTTAGAAATCCTAATAGATCCATGAGGTCAAATTAGACCAAAAAAATTCTTAAATTCTAAGTCTTTGAGAAAGCTACTGATAACAAGGCAGCCTCTATCACCTAAAAATTCACTGTGGAAGAAATTACTTTAAAAATTTTATGCATGATGATTGTAAATATTATCTGAATCACTGGAAATTTAAAATTAGTTGAATATGAGTAATTCTAGCAAGAAGACACAGGACAACATGGCCTGCTAAGAAGTTATGAGTATCTAAAAGGAAAGAATAAGAAAAATATAATGTTAAATTAAAAAAAAAACTAGCGATAGGATCTGGTTCTGTCACCTAGGCTGCAGTATAGTGATGCAATCACCAATCACTGCAACCCTGAACTCCTGGACTCAAGCAATCCTCCCACTTCAGCCTCCCAAGTAGCTAGGACTACAGGAGCACACCACCACGCCTGGCCATGTTTCTCTCTCTTTTTTTCCTTTGGTAGAAACAGTCTTGCTATGTTGCCCAGGCTGGCCTTGAACTCCTGATTTCAGATGAATGAACTCCTGGTCTCAAGTGGTTCAAGTGGCCTTGAACTCCTGCCTCATCCTCTCAAAGTGCTGGGATTACGGGCATAAGCCACAGTCCCCACCCAATGTCAACATTTTAATGTATATATTATTTATTTATAGGAAATTCTGTAAATAAATAATGGATTGGATTCTAGAACTCAGGGTCACAAAATTTTTAGGAGGTAAGAAATACTTCTGGTTTAGATTATCTGATCCCATATTTAATACTACAATTATCTGAAAATAGTAAGTGATTTGGGGAAAAATGCTCAGACAAAATATTATGAATGGACACGTAATATTATGAAAGGACTCCAGGATTATGATGTAGACCAGTTCAGTACCTTTCAACAACACCATAACAATCAGCTATTAGTAAAAACATTAATTCATACTGTAGGCTTCTTACAATGAGTTGAGGTTATTTAAAATATGTTCTTTAATATATGTTCTTTAACTGTGAACAGTAAGGCACACCCACTTTACAAATGGGGACTCAAGTTAACTTAGGACATGACATATTACTAGATTTTCTATAATTTAATGAAGGCTGTTAATAAACATACTTATGAACAGGTCTCAGATTTCTAAATTCCTAATCAATATTCTGGGAAAGCACTTAACAAAAAAATCCTTTAGAAATTTTTTTGAATAATTTATCCTGTGAATATAATGCAACTTCAAAGTTTTAAGTGCATGAATTTCTATTTTAATATAACCAGGAGTGAGCTGCTTATTAATATCTTATTAATAACATCAATTCTGCCTATTTTCATTACTATGAAAATAATATTAAAGTGTGTTAGTGTAAGGACCAACAAACTGTTACCTTGAAAGAGATCTGAGGGAGTAACTTAATGATGTTCTCTCTCACATTTTCACGTCACAGTTAAAAAGTTTAAAGATAAAGACAAAAGCTTAATTGTAAATGAGATAGCTAAAATTGAGCTAAATTATGGTTTATATATATGTTAAATATGTAAATCCATATTTAGATAGACACAATTTTCTTTAAAATGGCATTTACTTGACTGAGGAATTGCTTTTGCTGGAAATTAAAGGGATCCTATATTAATGTTTACATTGTTTTCTGAATATTGAACTTTATGAGGAGAACTTAATCCTGGAAAGCTGATTTTCTCACGTAAGTTGATTTCCTCACACATAAATCTAACTAAAATTATGTAGCTATTTTATTGCAAATATCTACCCCTTTTTACATATGTAAGTTTGGAATAATTTACAATAATATTGAGCAAAAGTATTCCAATTGAATGGAGAAAACTTCAGTTATTTCCCAATAAAATTTTTTTCTTCCTCCAAAGATTTTTTTTTTTTTTTTTTGGGTATCCTGTAGCATCACCTAATCCACAGGTTCTTTAATTATGGACCAGGACCACTGTCATCACTGGTGTCACTTAGGAGTTTGTTAGAAATGCAAATTCTCAGGCCCCACCCACAGACTCACTAAATCATAAACAATAGAGGTACGGTCCAGAAATCCGTGTTTTAACAAGTTTTTGAGGTAATTCTAATGCAAGCTATAGTTTGAGAACCAGTGACCTAACCTAATAAACAATCAGCTCTAATTTTTTCGTCCTTGCAAAAACAGTAGTAAGCTATAATAACGACAATAAAAACAATAGCAGTAAACTACTACAACTACCACCATGTATCAAATACCCAACAAGTGCCAAGTACCATAGAGTGTGTGTGTGTGTGTGTGTGTGTGTGTGTGTGTGTGTGTGTGTGTGTGAGAGAGAGAGAGAGAGAAATCTAATCTTCATAAAAACTTAGAGGAAAATCTCATCTCGATTTTATTAAAGAAGAAACAGACATGAAAAGGAAAACTGTAGAAAGTCAAAGCATAAATAACAGCAACAGGAATTAAATTCAAATCCATGATACAAAGGCTACAGCTTTCTACTATAGACTATACTATATATCTTAAAGAGCAGGTAACATATACAATGTCTCAGGTACTCTTTTTAATTAATGTGATTAACTGAAAGGTTAACTCATAAATATGCCTTTTGAAAACATGATATTCACATAAATTGGAACTGTTAAAATAACTCAAATACAAAATACTGTATGTGGACCTGGTCTGAGAAGTAATGACATTTACCACTGAGAAACATCTAAAAAAAAATAAGATTTAATTTCTTATGTGGATCTTATTTTGGTGTTGTCTGTTAGGCGTCATCTGTTTTTATTTCTTTTTTTGAGTTTTACTCAAATGATGAAATCTTGGGATGTGTAATTTTTTGTGATAAATATCTGCTAAGTATTTTACCTTGTCTTCTCAAAATGTTTTACCTTTTTAAAAATTATTATATTAGTAAAGCATATTCAAAACTATAAACAAGGAAAAAAACAAATCAACAGGTAAAAAGCTGTCCAAAGAACTGTCAGAAACATTTTTCTTCTGTTTAAATTTATTTAAAACAAATTTAACTCTTTAGTTTTCAATCCTAAGGATCACTGATGGAAAATGTATCAGAAAAATCATGGAGTTGTGAAATCAGGTAATGTGGGTTATATTCTCTACTAGGCAGACTAAATAAACACAAAGTACTAAAAACCTATGTGAAATACACATTGACACTGATGAAAAGTTTGCACATAGGACAGTTAAAAGGCATTTAAGTGAGGAAAAGTTGAAAAACCAAAATAAAATAACATTTATCCATAGCCTACTTCTCCCCAGTATTTAGCAAAATAGTCAGATAAATAGTCATGGTTAAATACTTGTAATTTTCTTTCTTAAAATGACTTGCAAATAAAGATTGAGATGTATTTCCTGCAATTAGCTTAAGTGTAAAAAGCCTGTTTATATACTGCTTTTAGGAAAATCTCATCCTTGCTTAGTTACAAAAATATAAAAATATATGACTGGGGTTGCAAGAAAATATCTTTATTTTACAATGCAGTAGACACAAAAAATATTTCAAACGTTACCAAGGCTTGTGTAAAATTACAAAATCTCTTAACAAATCCAATAATCTATCAGTGAAATGAACTGTTTTGGGACACCAAGAAGATGGAACGAAAGAATTGGCAAATTTGTGGCACCTTATTAGAACTGGATGTAATGGTACGTATAAACAGATAAAAGAGGACATTTATTTTTTCAAGTCTAGATTTATACATTTGCACATGGAAAAAAATATACCTTAGCTACTTTCCTCCAGTTAAGACAGTCAAAGAAGTAATATGTTCCCCTCTCATAGGTATTGGTTTTCATTGTTGGCTCCATGCCGGGTGCCCTGGTAATCCATACTCGTTCTTCTTTATGGTATCTCCAATCACGGTTAAAACTTCAATTTTTAAAAGAAAAGATAATTAACTTTTTCCTGTGGCTTACATCAAACAAGTGCTACATTTTATAAAGCTTTCCTCAGAAAAAAAAAAAAAAAATTACACATAAAGTATATAAATATGAATGCTTCCTACTCATTTATTATGTTATTAAAATACAACCCTATTGAAATACAGAAACATTAATTCTTAACTTGTCCAGAAGGCACAATAATTATATTCACATCTTTATTAACTAAAGAAACGTTTTACACAAACAAGGATTTTAAAAGTTTTATAAGCAATGTGATAAAAACACAGGCAGGCCAAATAAAGACACAATGTATTAGAAAAACTGTACTAGGGTCCTTTCTTGCCCTTCTTAACACTCAAAAGAAATTGAGGTATCTCCAACTGTTTGCATTATTTGATAAGGAACTAAGTACAAAGTCTATTTATGTAAATTCCACATAATTTTGTAAGTATCTTGAAAATAGACTATTTAAAAAAATTATACTAAATATATTACTGTATTTTTTATTCAAATTTTATTGATTCTAAATTCTCAAAAGCTAAGAGGAAATCCATTACAATTCACACATGAATCAATGAGAATTTACACTATTTGTAAACTGAGGAAGTAACATCCAGAGGAGGTCATGTCCCACAAAATAAACTTCCATGTAAAGCAATGCTTTCCTACCAACATAATGAGGTCGTTTTTAAGACATAAACAAGATATAATAACAGAACTGCCAGTGATAGATGAATGAGTGACTGAATGAATTTCTTTACTAACAAACAATTAAAAGGAACAGGTAATGATCTCTATTCTCACAAAAATGAAGGGAAAACTCCTCTCAGTTGTGAAGTAAAACAATTCATTATCAACATAATGACTTTTATATTTTGATCCAAAGCCATTTATACAAATGCTATTAGGAATGCTATCTGAGAAAAGGTTTCCCAATCATAAGGTCATAACTACTAATAGTATACTCTACAGTAAACATGTTAAAGAGTATTGTCTATTGATAACAAAATGTGTTACCAATTGTACGTCTGAGTAATGACAGAAAACTTATTTTTAGAGCATCAGGTAAACACAGATCTGCTTAGGGAAAAAGTATCAATCAGCCAATTTCTTTACATTAATATTTGTTTAAATTGGCCAATAGGCTGCTGATAATGAAAATGTGGGCCTTATTTAATCAGCACTTCAAAACATATAACAAATATGCACAGTGCCTTACCTATAAGTAATGTTTATAAAATGATGAAATTCAGTATCTATTAATATATACAGTCTTGAATTGGATCATATAATTCAAATATTTACAAAAATTAGATTCACCAAACCCATGAGTTAAGTCAATTCTGTCTTCTTATAAATCTGGCATTTATTAATTAATTATTTTTAGAGACAGGATCTTGCACTGTCAGCCAGGCTAGAGTGCAATGGCACAATCATAGCTCACTGTAATCTTAAACCCCTGGGCTCAAGAATCCTCCTGCTGTAGCTTCCCAAGGAGCTAGGACTATGTAAGTGTGTGCCACCACACCTAGCTAATATTTTTCTTTATTTTTTGTAAAGATGTAGTATTGCTATACTGCCCAGGCTGTCCCTAACTTCTGGGTTCAAGTGATCTGTCCACCTCAGCCTCCCAAAGTGCATTACAAGTGTGAGCCACTGTATCCAGCTTCAGCATTAAGTTTGAAATTCTTTTTATGTATATAGATTATGAAGCCATGGTAAGATATGGTTTTAATCTAAATTAAGTTCACTTTTATAAATGTAAAAATAAATTTCTTGATGGAGAAATAGTTCCACTTAAAGATAGCCATCATCACTTAAAGATGTTTTCGTAGTCAAGATCTACTACAATACAAAAGTGATTAAAATATTTTGAACATACAGCTCCACTGCAGCTAAAAGTTGTAATACGTCTCCGCCATTCATATAATAGAGATAGAACAGAAGGTCTTCACCATATCGGCCAAGTTTTATTGCAGCCAGCTGAAAAAGAAAAATAACTTATTCTGAAATATAAAACAAATCTGAAAATCCTAACATATAGTTGCTACTACTAAAGTATAAATGGAGAGATAAACAGAAACTCCCCACTTTGTAGAAGATAACAAATATTACATGATTACACAGATAGGTAGTTATGATTCTAAAAGGGAATTTCCTCATTTAAATGACTCTAGTCATTTAAACAAGTATTTCTGGTGCATCTATTTGATATGCTGGTTGGAAAAAAAGCTAATTAAAAACTTCCAAGCAAGATCAAATGTTAACTGTATCACTACAAGGATTTAATACCCAATGGGGCAACAATACTAACAATAACATTTTGCTCAGAGATCTAGGACTTGCATTCAAGTCCAGTTTTATTACTCATTAATATGACCATGTCCTAGAATTTAATATTTATTAGCTATACTTGTCAAATGTGGACAATGACACCTACGAGGGTTATTAAGAAAATAAATAAAATGAGTGAAAGTACATGAAAACACCTTGTGGAGTGTCAAATATTATAAAAAATGTTAACTGAATCTATATCTGACAGTGATTGACAAGTCAGTTGTATGTTTCCAGCAAATCACAGATGGTGAATACAAAAATCATAGAGATGGCATTCTAGTTTGTTTAAACAGATGCCTGAAACATGACTGCTTTACATTTCTCTTCACAAGGTAGAAAAATAACTGCCTGCCAAACTAAAGCATAGGTGAGGCTCAACAGTCTGAAATTTTCACATTAAAATAAACCTTAAAAGTGTCCCAAAACAACATTTTTATCTTGTTATTTGATCCTATATCTAAATATTTATTTGGTTATTATACATTCTCTGAATGTAATTTTTCTTTCCATTCATGTTATCCCTATTCAGGCAGCAGCCCCAATCTGACAGATTCTCCTAAATTAGTATTTCTCAAATTGGCATAAGAAAAGGTCTGGAACACTTAGGTAATTGGAGTGAAAGAGCTCTATAGTGGAGGTGGGGGCAAATCACACAATCCACAAATAGAAAATAGGAGACCTCTTTTACTTCTTGCCTCCCATCTACTCAAGTATTAAAAGACATTGAGAAAGGTATCCCTTTACTTGCCTGTCCACAACATCAACATCCACTTGACCACAGAACTGTAAGGCACACTCAGAATGCTGTCATACATATACGCATACATGTATATTTATACACAAATATATAACAAAAATATATTTCACTGAATTATGTTGTCTTCCAAGGCTAAAATTTGGATACCATTGTGCATTTTTTTGTAATAGAAACAAATTCTCAGTTCTTCTAAAGCAAAAAGTGCCACGATTTTTTTTCTTAGATTGAAAAAAGAGATTAAGCTGTAATCTGTTGTTAACAATTACTTTAGAATTAGAATTTTAAGTAATTTGAAAAATGGAAATGAAAAACTACAGAGAAAAATCAAAGGTCATAAACAGTTTTTAAAGATACAGACCATCTCATTAAAATCACTGTATCTGTAATACTTATAAAGAAAATCTTTTTACTGGTAGGGTCATAAAATAAGATTATCAGAAGGAAATTTATCAAATGTTCCAAGCTAGCTTATTCCCATCAACTGCAGGTAGGTTGTAACCTGTTGTTAAATGTAAGAATTTTCATTTTTTTTTTAACCAGTCCTAACATTTATCATTTAACAAGTTAACATGGACATATGAAAGCATATTCCTGAGGCCATTACTAATTATTTAAAAAACAGAATGCTGTCTGAACTGAAAAACGTGAAAAATAGATAAATTCATGCTGACTGAGTAGAATAATAAACTACACTCACCTTATCCCTAATGTGAATGTTCGTTAAGTACTCAGATGGAACATGGAAGTCTAGATAATAAAATGAAAAAAGCCTTATTAACTGATTCTCAGTTGTAAATATGTTTTTAAAAGGTATAAACACAAACAGATTCTCCTACCTATGTCTTGAGGTCGACAAGGTGAAGATGCCCAGGGTGATGCAAATTTGGGGTACAGATTTCTGAATAAGGGGGAAAAGAAAACATTTTGAAATCCAAAGCAGAAAAACAGGTTTCTAACTTTAATTCAGGAAAATCAGGAAAAACAGAGTCTAAATGTAAAACGAGCATCTTTACTTCTAATTCCCTTACTTGGGTTTACTGACTTACACAGAAGCAAATGGAGAAAGGGAGAGAGATGAGGGGAGTGGGGAAGGGGAGAGCAGGGAGGGAGGGGGAGAGGGAGAGGGGGGGGGGGAGAGGGGAGGGGGGAGGGAGAGGGAGGGGGAGAAGGAGGGGGAGGGAGAGAAAGAGAGAGAGAGAGAGAAATGATAGGACTCTTTCCCTCACTATTCTTGCAATAGAGTATAAATAACACAACATATCACAATATACAAAACATTTGATTAATTTCTACTTTTACTTGACTTCAACTCAAGATGCTTTAAATTCTTCAATACCATGCCCCCAAATTAAATTACTTTCCCATTTATTCATGCGGCAAGAAAAACAAGGAGTATTTGCAAAAGTTTAAATACATCAAATATTTACTGAGTGTCTATTACAAGCCTGGCATGGCACTGTTCTAGGTGCTTAAGATACATCAGTGAACAAAGATCACTGACAACACGAAACTTTCTGATTGAGGATGATGGATTGGAGGGAGGCAGACAAAAACAATGAACAGAATAAATAAGTAAACAATGACCCATGTTAGAGGGGAACTGGGAGGGGAGACTGGATGTATAATTATTAAATAGGGTGGTCAGTTAGGTTTCATTAAGCCAGATCTGAAGATTTAAAGAATATGAGGGAGAGAGTCATATTTATTATCTGGCAGAAGACTCTTCTAGTCAGAGGGAATGGCCAGAGCAACTAAGGAAGGGACGTGGCTAACATGTCCAAGGTACAACAAGGTGGCTAGTGAAGCTGGAATACAGTAAGCAAAGGGATAAGCTGTTGAGGTGGGGTTGGGGGACAGACAATAACCATGTAAGACCTTGTAGACCTGTAAAAATTTAGGGTTTCTGGCCAGGTGCAGTGGCTCGCATCTGTAATTCCAGCACTTTGGGAGGCCAAGGCAGGCAGATCACTTGAGGTGAGGAGTTTGAGACCAGCCTGGCCAACATGGTAAAATCCCATCTCTAACAAAAATACAAAAATTAGCCACCCATGGTGGCATACGCCTGTAATCCCAGCTACCCACGAGGCTGAGGCAGGAGAATTGCTTGGACCTGGGAGGCGGAGGTTATAGTGATTCAAGATTGCACCATTGCACTACACCCTAGGCAACAATAGCGAGACTTCGTCTCAAAAAAAAAAAAAAGAAAAGAAAAAGAAAAAGAAAAAGATTTGGGGATTTTAATCATAATGAAACCACAAACTCTTACTGGGTATTGAGCAGAGGAGTAAGTTATTTAAAAAGGATTGAATTGGCTGCTATATGAAGAGAATGTATGGGCAGGGGTATAAGAATAATCAGGGACATCCAGTGACTGGCTAATGGAGTATTCAGGTAAGAGAATGATTCAAACAAGTGTGGTAGCAGTTAAAAGTAGTGAGCTGGCTGGGCGCGGTGCCTCACGCCTGTAATCCCAGCACTTTGGGAGGCCAAGGCGGGCAGATCATGAAGTCAAGAGATCAAGACCATCCTGGCCATGGTGAAGCCCCGTCTCTACTAAAAATACAAAAATTAGCCGGGCATGGTGGCATGTGCCTGTGGTGCCAGCTACTCAGGAGGATGAGGCGGAAGAATCACTTGAACTCAGGAGGCGGAGGTTGCAGTGAATCGACATTGCGCCACTGCACTCCAGCCTGGCGACAGTCTCAAAAAAAAAAAAAAAAGTAGTGAGTTTTGATCAGATTCTTATATATTTTGGGAAAAGACTATTATGGGGTATAAAAGAAAGAGGAGTTAAGAATAATGTCAAGCTTCTGGAACTACAGAGTTACCACTGACAGATTGGAAAGGCTGCAGACAGAACAGGTTGGGACACGATCATTTAAGAAATATTTAATTGGCAATTGAATGTAGAAATCTCAAACTCAGAAGTATGGAATGGAAATCTATGTTTGGAATTCCTCAATATATATATAAGACTAGAAAAGATCATCAAGGATGTAAATATAGAGAAGAGGAATGACACAAAGAGGTCAAGAAGAAAAGGAAGAGGTAGCAGCAAAGGAAACTGAGAAAGACCAACCAGTGAGGATCAGGTAAGAATGGTGCTCTCAAATTCAAGTACAAGTGAGGATTAGGTAAGAATGGTGCTCTCAAATTCAAGTACAAGAATGTGTATCAAGGGGCAAGAGATCCTCCAAGTGACCACTGAATTTAATAGCATGGAAGCTATTTGGTAACCTTGATAAAAGCAGCTTTAATCTAAGTGGCAGGGACAAAATCCTGACTGAAATGGGCTTACCAGAGAATGGAAGAAGACCAAATTGAAGAAATGGAGATGACTCTTTGAAAAGTTTTGCTTCAAAAGGAAATCAAGAAATAAGAAAGTAACTTACAGAGGAGGTTGGATCAAAGGAAGATTTTCTTTTAAGACGGGAGAAGTAACAGTGTATTTCTATGTTGAGGAAAATGACCTGACAAAGTGTGAAAATCTGTTAGAGTCATGTTTCTGAGTTTTCAACAGAAGTTTTAAGTAGAACACATGGGTCGATTATGGTAATAGGGTGGAAGACAAGAATAATGTAGATGCAGATGGCTGTAGGTAGTTAGATTTGGTGGTTGGACTGTGCTAAATGTGCTCTTCTGATTGCTTCCATCTTTCTTAGTACAGTAGAAGTGAAAAGCAAGATCATCATTTGATAGTAAGAACAAGGAGAAAAAGTATTAGGAGGTGCAGAAGTATACAATAGTTGCATAAGAGAGCAAAAGAGTAAATGGACTAAGCATGCAAGGTGTAATAATCCCTGGTATAATTAAGAGCCTACTTTTCACGTTCCTGGGCATGAATATAAAGAAAGACTAGGCAGTAATGTCATGTGTTTTTCTCTAGCAGGACTCCGTAGCTACACAATGGGATACACACGCCAGGAATGAAATAGGCATTAACAACCAGTATTGTCGATTTTGCCATCCAAGTATAACAACACGAGAAAATGGCAAAGTAGCTATAGGATATGCAAATGAATAATTATGACTGACCACAGAATTTCTTGGGTAAGAAGGGAGATGATCACAGGGGAAGGGGGAAGAGGGAGGGGGATATGGAAGAACAGTTAAAACACAGAAGAATTCATAGATTGAAGGTCCCAATGGAGTCAAATGATTATAAAAGTCATAGTACTAGAATAAGAGAAATAGAAAATAGAAAGTGGAAGTCAGAAAGCACAAGAGGACAGATTTTAAAATTGAGAGATTACAGTTACTAATAATGACTAGGTCAAAAGGATAACTAAAGGAGTTGCTGAAGTATACTACAAGACAGAAATTCCTGGAGGAAAGAAATTCAGAGCTGAGATTTTAGGACACACACACACACACACACACACACACACACACACACTGCCAAATTATAAAAGGAATACTGCAGAGTGACAGTGACCTAAGAGCTAATATGAGAGGAAATGACCCAGAGAATCAGTAGATTACAGTAAGTAGCAGTAGGTGAGATAACTTGATGATGTGATATTACAAACTGGAAGTCTCGGCAGGGCACGGTGGCTCACGCCTGTAATCCCAGCACTTTGGGAGGCCAAGGCAGGCAGATTATGAGGTCAAGAGATTGAGACCATCCTGGCCAACATGGTGAAACCCCATCTCTACTAAAAATTCAAAAAAAATTAGCCAGGTGTGGTGGTGTGTGCCTGTAGTACCAGCTACTCTGGAGGCTGAGGCAGGAGAATTGCTTGAAACCAGAAAATGCAAGTTGCAGTGAGCCAGAATTGCACCACTGCACTCCAGCCTGGCGATAGAGTGAGACTCTCTCCAAAACAAAACAAAACTGGAGGTCTGAAGGGAGGTATTACATACAGACATGGAAATACAGAAAAAAACTTACTCAGGAGAATTCAGATTGAGGCCTAATGTTGTTAAGTCACTTCCTAATGCAAGATGTACCATTCCTGGGTCTGTCTCTGCTGCCCTGATAAATGTTAACAGGCCAATCATTCCAAATTGGTCCGTCACCATCCCTTGAGGAATGTTAGTAACCCGACCTAGGAAGGAAAAACACAGTTGCTTTTATTTTTGAGGAAAAGTTAAAAAAAAAAAAAAAAAAAAGCATTCTGTAATATCTTTGACATATTTCTAGAGTCCCACCATCAGGTAACACCTGGATCCCTTTTTTCTGCTGGTTATTATTTTGTGTTGTTGAACTTTTATCTCCAGGGAATTTGGGTCCATCTGTACTTGAAGTTGTCTTGCCAGATGTGTTCAAATTCTAGCATGAAAAAAATTAAATGTGACATTAAAATTTGTTAAGTATACAAATTCAGATTCATATATTAATACCTTGCTATTCATTCTTTATTACATTTAAATCTGTAGTAAATTATTACCTGTTTTTCAAGTTCTATAGAAAATTGTTTCCATCATTGTTCCATGGTATACAAATAAATCCTATATCATCCACATTTGAGTATTTAAAGAAAAAGAAATCAAGGGAAAATGTTCTTATTTATCTCAGATCTTCAGTCACAGGAAAAAAAAATCTATCTTTTTCTCAGATCTTTATGCTTTGGGATACACTTGAAGTTACACTCCTCAATGCTTTCACGTTAAAAGAGAAACTAAATATAGTACATTACCTAAAATCACCAAAGCTACCTCCAAGATAAATCAGAACATATAAGCTTTAAAACTTTATACTTATTTTAATTCTTACCAAACAATCTTCTTTATCAATTATTTTAATAATATATAAACTCCCATCACACACAAAGAAAAGCTATTTTCAGTGAAATGTGGAAGAAATAAACATATCTGTTAAGTCAGAAAGAAGAAGCTGAGTTGGTTGAATCAACACAGGTATAAAAATGTGTATAAATTCTTCAAGGAGAAAACTTACTCAAGAAAAACACAGCTCCTTAGAAGGCTATATTATCAAACTTCATGGGATCCAGCTGACAGGGACTACAATAAAAGTCTAAATTAACTCTGAGAAGTTCAACAGAAATTTGCAAACCTATATGAAATAGGAAAAAAATAGGCTATCTTCTAAGTTATAAAGCTTTTCCACATTCTTCAGAAGTTAGATTATTACAGATATCAAGATAAAACAGTTGTGTAATAGTATTTAGTAAGTAACTGTTAATATAAGAGAAATCTGAAGGGAAAAAACTACATCACTCACATACACAATTCTCAGTTACTTACAGATTTACTGTCATCATTACTTGATGTTGGATCTTTATAGCTGGAGCCTGGTAATGCTGGAAAATCTTCATTGTGTATTGAGAAATCCTGGGATTGTTCATTTGCTGGTTTTGTTACCATTCCAACTATGTAATGAAAATAATCCGGAGAATTGCAATTGATATTTATGATATTTTGCTACAGATTATAAAGTTAACTTTCCTCATGTTAAGACACCAAAAGGTTTTTTTTTTTTAAATGCTATGAAAGCATATTTCAAAAATTAGTATCCAGGGTAACAATGACGAACTAAATTTTCATTTACTGATTAATAAGTCAACATACAAAATAATACAAGGGAAATCAATGGTAATCCTGTAAATCTAATGTCATACATAGGTGCTTAAAAATATAATTTGATACTGGAATAATTGTTAACAATTTTGGTTTAAAAGCTCATTTTATTTAAATATTTGACTAGATATTATAAATACCAGGTTAACTGTCAAATACAAATGAACAAAATAAAATTTACAAGAATATGTCAGTATTCTACTAGAAAGTGACTTACAGAGTGAGCAAATTGCAATCAATTATAAAACAACTCCATATTATTTCAGATTTTCTTGGACTCCATGTTATAGATGTAAAACATGCAAGAACTGGGAAATAATCCTCCCACTATACTTGGCATTAGTCAGGCCCTTATTGGAGAACAATATCCAGTTTTGGGCTCCACAATTCAAGAACGATATGGAGAAACTAGAGATGGTCCAAGGAGAGCAACGGGAATGATTAAAGGGATGAAAAAATGGACCTATGAGGAAAGGTTAAAAACATTAGAGTCTGAACTGAGAATCAAGTAGCTAGGTACTCAACTTCCAGGGCAGATCATTTTTTGTTATTTTGGGGACACTAATTTGGAAACTTTCGAATATAAACAATAAATTTTTCCCTTCTTCATATATTGTTACTTGTATTCCTATCTGAATGGCACAGATATCCTTCTTGGTTGAAAATGTGATCAAATATTAATTCTATCTTAGAATAACTGATAAACCGATTCTTCTAAATTCACTGTTTCGTTACTGGTCTCTATCAGGTTTTCCCAAAAGAAAAAAAAAATATGTGATAAAAATAGTATAGCTACATTGCTGTCATAGAATTTTGTCTAAATTGTTTTATTGTTATTGCATATGTTTCCCCTCCTTTATTTGTTTATCCTTGATTAGCCAAATCTCTTATCAGAGATGGTGAAAAGAGTGGTGAAGAATATTAATGGAGACCAAGAGTTTGCATAGGCTATACATGACCCATGAGAAGTGGTTTTCAAAAGGGGCAATTATTTTTCCCCCAGAGGACATCTGTCAACGTCTGAAAATATTGTTGTCTGTCACAATAGGGGTTGTGGGGGATAGAAACAGAGGGTGCTACTGGCATCTTGTAGGCTGAGGCCAGGAATGGTGCTTAACATGCTATATAAACACAATAGCCCCCCAACATCTCCTCTCTACAAAGAATTACCTGGCCCAAATGTCAATAGTGTGGAGGCTGAGAAACCCTGGCTCAGAAAAACATCTTCAATGTAGTCAGTCATTATTAATCACCAGGAATATATCCTTTTGAAAAATGTGTGATCAATTAACAAGAGAAAAGGCAGACCAAAAATAAACTATGAGAGGGATAACAGAAGAAAATAACTTCTGAATACCAATGAGGAGTTCCTCTTGGGTTTCTGTACAAAGTTTTCCCATTTAACTTTGCTACCATGGTATTCTGGGAAGAAAAATCACTTTTAATATATCAATTCTGAAAAAAATTAGACTAACCTGATTAGAAAATGCAAACATGTATGTGTACACATACAAGCATATGTATATGTACATGTAAATGCATGTGTGTGGGCATACACAATGGCAACTTCCCATTGGCCATCATTAAAAAGCTTAATTACCATAAGGAGCTCTTCCAGCCAAGGGGTTTATTAATGGAGTTGGGTTACCACTTCCTTCCCTTCTGTTTCGGTCTGCTAATGCTGGGAAATCTGAAAGGTCCAATCCTGTCACATTTTCACTTCCATCTAAATAATAAGAAAGAACATTGGTTATTGATTCTACAAATATTTTTTAAGAGATTATAAAAACCAACTATAATATAATTCGAAATGACTGCCTTCTTCCTAAATAATGCACGGCACTGTACTAGGTGTACATTGGTGCTCAAAAGACAGTGCAGACTGAATTCATGTCAAAGAATTTCATGAACAATTTAGCAAAGCAATATGCAATCAGCATAATAAAAACCCCAAATCCTAGAGATATAACAAAGAGAATAAAAAGTATGTATTTCCCCAGTGGAATATGGTAACCTAAAATTATAGCTTGTTAGCTAACAAGAGGGCGATTGTTACTGTACAACTGGTCCTTTCATCATGCTCAGATGGAAGTTGTATCTAGAATGCATGAAGCTTCAGTTACACACAAAAGGTAACAATGATAGTACCTCCTGCAAATGGCCAGAAAGATAGCTAAGGCACAGGCAGTGAAGCAGAAGCCCTGAGGACTTCCACCAGTATGTGATTGCTTTCATATATGAACGTGTGTGTTTTGAGGGTGGGGTAACAAGCAAGGTGGCAGTAGGGTTCATTCTCATATACAGTAAATGGGTAGGAAATATAGAAATATGATACAAAGCCCAGAAGTTTTTATTACCTATTACACAGTAGGCGCTCAATAAATATATACAAAATAAATTAAATGTATTTTAGTTCATTTTAATTAAAACAATCAGCCGGCTTCCTTTATAAATTAAAATTTAACTCAACTTGTCTACTTTGTCTATTTTAAACACCTCAGTTTCTTAACTTTTTAGTATTCTTATAACCTTGCATTCTTAATTTTTGAAGAAAATTTTCTACCTTCCTTTTAGCCTGCGCTATAGTTTTTCTTTAATTTTTGTTTCACCATTTTCAATTTATTTTGCCATTTCCCAATTAATTTTTAGTTTTCTCCAAATCTCACAATGGAAAGAATCTCAAACAGCAACTGTTATTTCAAGATTACTTCGCCGACAGAAAAACAACAGACACCATTAATCTATTAACATTCAAAGACAGGTGACAATTTCAAATTACAAGGGTAAAGGATAAATTATTCTTTCCTACTGTTTACAAAAACTGCTGTTTATAAATTTGTTTCTGCAGTTTAAGAATTTTGAAAAAAAAAAACCACTTGAATGACAATAAAAAATTTATATCCTGTTTCTATACAATTTCTTAAATTCTTTGATTATAAATCAATTATACATTTTGAATATATATTAACTTTTAATACACATCTTTAGGTCCTCCAAGATGGAATTTTCCTAGCATAAAATATGCTTAGTGAAAATAGAATTTAAAAAATAATTCTCAAGTTTTATAGCACTGTTTAAAACCATAATGCAGAATGTAAGATGGCACTGGCAGACATCTTTACTTTTACTTTGTGTCACATTTAGGAAAAAAACTGCAATTAAATTATGATATGCAGATGCAACCTGATTTCAAAGACATTAAAGTATGAAGAAATGTACATTTTAGAAACAATGGAATATAATATTTCATACTGTATCTTGAACACAAGCTACCATATACAAATGCTAAAATTTTATATACAAATGCTAAAACTTGGTTTATCAAAGCTTTTAATCTTCTGTGATTAATCTATGCTGCTGAGCATACATTAACATTTAGAAATTAAAAGCTCATAGCTACAAATGACATTTCCTTATTAAATCTTCTCTCGCCTCTACATACACTCCATCTCAGTGAGCAAATCTTTTACCTTCCACTTCCTTTACATTTAATTCTCTCCCAATAATGCTGTTCATTTTTGCTCCTATGATCATAACATCCTTTATTTCCTTTGTCAGGAAAGGGTCTGTAGGGTGGAGAGGGTAAAACCTAAAGCAAAATAGCAACAAAGCTTCCTGTTCTCTTCTATCTGAAGCAGTTGATAAAAGAAATAAACCAAAAGACTGCAGGAATTGTTTTACTAGCAAAATCAGAGTTGGTTTTCCATGTAACTAAATTTTATACATAAAACTGGATCAATAATTCATAAAGGTTAAATGCCAAAATTAGTATTATTAAAACTAAGAAAAAATACAAGTGATCCATACAATTTTAAAGGTTCTCTTCAATCTGAATCTCTATAGCCAGAATGTCATATTACCCAACCTAGTCTAAGCTATAGTTCTCACAGTGGAAGGACTGAGGATAGCAAAAGCTTTGAAGCAAAAGATTTTGAGGCATAAATACGAACTAAGTTAATGCGCAGGCTCTCTCTAGGTGTTAATAATTCTGATGTTGTAACAGAAATTACTGTTACCATGCCAAGTAAAAAAATATATATTTACATATCTCTCAACTATTCACTGTATTAAATCCTATTCCTATTTCTCACTGAATTAAAATCTACCATCTAACACAATAAAAAATCCTACAGTATTTAAAGACCAGTATGTTGAATTGCTTTATATTTCATAAATCTATCATATTTTTCGTAGGGTACTAGCTCCAGAATAAGCTTACCTGTTCCATTAAAAATGTTACTTGATAAGGAGTTATTCATTCCAAATGCCTGATTCCTGTTCATTCCAAATCCAGACATACTGGGTACATAGAAAATAGTTTTAGATATACAGTAAGAACACTAACTTTCAGATGAAAAAAAACAAAAGTGTATATTTTTGGTCTCCTCATATAAAATAACAATGTTTCAAAACCAATACTAATATTATTTTGCTGAGTCTATTATCTTTACTTGAAAACTTCTCTAAAGCCCTTCCATGAACAAATGAGAACCAGAACATTTTAAGCAGATTAGTTAAAAAACAAAAACTCAAGAATTTATATATGAACCTTGAGAAAAACAGATTCAGGGCACCATTTGTGAATTTCAAAAGCCAACTTACTGGATAGCTGAATTACCTAACCTAAAAAATATGCAGGTTAGTGTTAAGGTTATTCTTGCTAAACAGCTGTTTTTCTTTTTTACTGGTAAAGCTTGAAACTGTTGCTTTTCATAACAGATCTTCTCTCATATAGTGTCCTTCTTTCCTAACTAGAATATAAAATCCTCATGGACAGAGGAGTTTATGTCATATTCCTACCATGTCAAAGTCCTCTCTGTGTCCTCTGCCCTTTAGTGTTCAGGAAGACATAATAGATACTCAATAAATATGTAGTTAACCTGAACTGAATGGTGCTTTTTAAAATTGAATTCAATGTTCAAAAATACATCATTCTTATCTACATTTTACCTTTCATACACTTAAACGAAAACAGTCTATACTGTCCCAAATTTTGAATTTAACGCACAACTGTATTTTGCAAATAGTTACAAATAGCCTGCCTTCCTTTTTTGTACAAGACTAAGCATGTGAAGAAAAAAAACAAATGAGGCTGAACCCAGAGCAAGGCCAAATAATTAAGAGTGTCAATAGGAATTGTTAATGTAGATTCAACAATGAAACCACATGTTTTTCATGTCAAATATTCTTCCAATAAAAGGCACTTAGTGTATCACTGTTATAAGCAGGGTTAATCTGTTTGAAGATGACAGGGTTGATTGGGTTTTGACTAAATCTATAAAACTATAGCAAAACAATTTTTTGATAAAACACGCAGCTGACAAAACAACAAACACTCTAGAGAAGAGCCAGAAAGTCAATGGAAATTTTTGTTTAATAGCATATTAGAATTGCTGATGCTATTACAGGTACCATCAAACATGGAATAAGTGCTCAGAGATGAAAACATTTTATAATAAATACAATTTGTCAATAGTAGAAATAAGCAGGGTTTTAGAGATCCATGTTACATTGACAATTTAAGCAAAGTATATTTTAGTAACAAAATGTGAAAAATATGGAAAGGTAAAAATTGATATATACATTCAATGCCCAATATTATGAGAATGTACAAAGATATGATAAAGATAAAAGGTTAGAAAGCTATCAAGGAGATGAGAATTTTGAAAACCTTTCACTTTGATAACCCTTCACAAATAACTTTAAAAGAGCAATACAATTATAAATATCTAAATAAAAGCAAAAACTGGAGTTTATAGAATAAAGATTAAACAGTAAATGTGCTAAACCTATTTTAATTCAGATTTTAGTAGATAGAAGAAAATGAATCAAATAGGTATGATGATAACAACTAGATCAAGGTCATTTTTGTCCCTACATTTCTCCATTTAAAAATACATATATACATGTAGGCAATTAAGCTTAAATACTACTTTTGCAAGAAAGTCTTATATTTCAGACATAATTCTCATACAAACAGCTTGAAAAATCCTAAAAAAATGAGTAACTCTTCTTATTTGCAAAGTATATGCAACAGACAGTGCAAAAAGAACTGAAAAAGTACAAAAACCCAAGCTTTTGTTTTGAATCCCTAAACATCACACTGTTTTCAAATACTATAGATGTGATCTTAAAAGTCTTTGGTTGGTAAGTCTCCAAAGCACAAAACCAAATCTTACTTAAAAAGGTATTCAAAGTATAACTAAAGCAAAGTAGTAATAGTCAAACACATCTCCAGTTCTATTCATAAGCCTAGAACTCTTACCACACAGGTAATCAACTCATTTTATAAAGAAAGAACATATCAACTAAACTTTGCCTGGTGGCGATCCAAGAACAATCCTTTTCTAACAACAACAACAACAACAAAAAGTTTTAATGTGCTTTCCAAAATCAAACTGATTTTCAAGAAAATGTATCACTTTGTCATGGGTAATCTTTGGACATAAATGCATGATGAAACACACTTATTAGAGGGAAGCCACACTTCAAGAACAAAGTGAAAATATGAAAAGGCAAATCCGAGGATACCCAGAAAGACAATTATACACATTATCAATAAACATCTTACCTGTTCACAGTAAAAGGCTGTCGAGAAGGCTGCTGCTTTGGCATACATATTATGCTTGGCGAGCTTCTGTTGGGGCTACCTAACCCTGAACTGCTCATGCTATTTGTCCTGCTAGGAATTCCAATGCCCTGACCAACCTGGGAGTGGTTCATCATATTCCTAGGATTCATAGGCAAAATACCCCTGAAAAAGAAGTCCATTATACTAAATAAGCTCTCTATAATCACTCATTAAAATTCTCTATAAATAATCAATTGGTCCTATCCTAGAATCTCAAACATGCTTTCAAATTGCAGTTCTAATTTTTATTAATTCTTTAGTCATTCTAGCTCTTTGAAAAGAAAAATCAAAGTAAACAAACAAGAAAGGGCAAATTATAGTGCAACTGATATAAGGTGGTATCTAAGATGAGAGAACTATTGGTGTGACTATGACATAAAATATAAATGTACTTCACACACATATTTAGCATAATTTCATTTCAAAGGCATATCATTCTATCCTTTGCATATTAAATGCATAGTCTATGTCACCTGTTTTACTTTATGGTCATTAGAGCAATAGATGTGCGGTGAGCAATAGATGTGCGGTGAGCAATGATCGCAAATATCTGGTGAGGAATTTTAAATTGCACATATTCTTTTCAGGAAGATAGGTGCCTTTTGAAAAAGCTCCCCAGGAAGTGACTGACCCTTGATATCCACCCCACTGACAACCAGTATACGAGCTTTAGTATAAAAACCACGTGTACTATACTTAACAATTTGCACAGAAATAAAATGAACATAGGTATTTTCTTCCTCAGTGAAAGGCACTGAACCAGAAAATCAAATAATTAATTACCTTATTAAAAAATTAAAAGTTTGCTTACTCTACCAAGACACATTTTGGAAAATATTCTGGTCCATCAATAAATACCTGCTTGGAGATGGTGGCGTGTGAAGTGACATTGTTGGTACCCCTGTTGTTGGCGTGACGTGGCTCGGTAACTGAGTGCCTTGTGATAAGCTGCGATTTAACTGAGGGGTATTGTTGCTCATCCCCCTCATTGGAAGGCCTAGTGCACCTAATAAAAAAATTCAGAAGAAGGAAATTCATTGCCATCAGGAATGAAATTGTTATCCATCTTCTGGAGTTGGCAATTTAAGACACTTTTAATGACCTAGCATAATACGCAAATTCTAAATGGATATATTCGATTCACTCCAAATAAGCTCTGATTTTAACAAAAAATATGCTCTGGTCTGAAATTTAATATTATGAATAGGTATTTCTTTCATATTCCTATATTTTTTCATATTTTGATTTCATTATAAAGTATGTCAATGACTAACAAGTTACAATATTATGAATGGATATTGATCTAAAATTTCTTAAAGGCCTATTTGCACATATGTACATTTTTATATAAGAGGCCATTATGAAATTTTGCAATCATGTGTTTTTATCTCTTTATTCATAACTGATGTATACAGAAAGGTACTTAACCCCGCTTTGCTGAAGTAGCTTTAATTTTATATGATCCTTTAAAAATACATTTTAGAAAAAGCCACTTTACTATTTATACATAATTCTCAACGTTACCATTTTTACAAACCCGACAAAATGCCAGCAATGGTTAAAAAAACTCAAACTGACGTAGCTATAAAAGACAAAATTTTAAAATATTTAAAAAGATGTCAAAATATAATGGCTCTGTATTTATCTAGTACCCCTGGAGCCAGATTCAGGGATGGGCTATACATTATGATAGGTTTATTTATTTATTTTTAAAGACTACTGACAGTTTTACCATTCAGATATAAAACAAAACAAAAATAACCACTTTGGATAAACTTATTTTCAAAATGTATATTTCCTTTTTATTCAGATCATAGGAAATATATTTAATAATCGACAATTATCATAAACAGCTAATGTTCTATATGTTTATTTTTTCTCTTTTGTTTCAAAGTCAAGAAGTACAGCTATCACTTATGCTGTCATATCTGTCTACGAATGCCTCCTCCTTTCCTCCATCTTCCTGACCCATGCTTTTTAGAGCTTTCTATTTCTAGTCTGCTTCATCAACCAAACTTATTCTGAACTGGAGATTAAATAAAATTGATAAGATAGAGTGAGAGCTAATCAGCAAATAGACAACTTCAGTGCTAGGGATTTAAGGTGATTTTATCTTTTGGCATAATAATGTTTCACCTTCTAACCTAGGGATAGCAGTGGTTAGCAAAGATCTCACTGATCGTTATCTTGAATTTGACAGCCGGTATTCTCAGCTTGTAGCCTAACTGCCTCTCCACGGAATGAATCCCATCAATATAATTCAATATACCTAATATATTTTATATATATACTTTTCACTCAGCTTCCATGAAGACCCAAGCTTGGTTGTGCATTTCTGTAAGGCACTTGAAGGGAACTGGCCTAGATTACATGTACACTGTTATGTATGTCTATAGTCACTCTAAGTTTTTTGACTATGAGAATACCACTACCTGTAGCCACTTTCTCTGAATCTGGGACAAAATAAGGCAGAATAAGAGATTAAAAATCAGCCTGCTTAAAATTTCTTCAGAAGAAATCAGTCTTTTCCCTCCCTAAAGCACACCATTTTTCTCTGAAGCTTTCTAGGTGTATTCATAACAAGCCACCAACATGATACTTTTCACATTATTCATTCAACAAACATTTTTTTTTTTTTTTTTTTTTTTGAGACAGAGTTTCGCTCTTGTTACCCAGGCTGGAGTGCAATGGCGTGATCTCGGCTCACCGCAACCTCCGCCTCCTGGGTTCAGGCAATTCTCCTGCCTCAGCCTCCTAAGTACCTGGGATTACAGGCATGCGCCACCTTGCCCAGCTAATTTTTTGTAGTTTTAGTAGAGACGGGGTTGCACCATGTTGACCAGGATGGTCTCGATCTCTTGACCTCGTGATCCACCCGCCTCGGCCTCCCAAAGTGCTGGGATTATAGGCGTGAGCCACCGCGCCCGGCCTCAACAAACATTTAATGAATGCCTACTACACAACAAGCACTGTGCTAGCTGCTGGGGATACAGCAGTGAACACAATAGAAAAGGCCCCTACCCTGAGGGAGCTTACATCCATCCTACTCCCTAAACATGCTGTCCTGAAGTCAGCTAGAGCTGCAATTTTCCTCAGGAATGTGTTTCCCACAGTTATTGAACACCAAGATATGTCATACAATTTTAGAGCTGGAAGGGATCTTAAAGATCACCTAGTTCAACGTTCCCATTTTACAGACAGGTAAGGAACCTTAGCCTGATGAGTTAACTGAGTTCTCCATGGCAACACAAAGAACTAGGACTAGAATTTAGATCTCTTAGCTCCTAATGTACTTTAATAGCAGCACTACTGGAGCCCAACACAATTCTGTCAACTCTCCATTGGCACCCTTGTGAGTCCACACTAATTGCAACACCTCTAACATATTTTCCCCCTGCTTTCTTTTTCCCTTTTGAATATGTTTCCCTTGATCTTTTTGCTAATGTTCACGTCTAGCTCTCTTCCCTCCCATTTTCTTTCTCTCTTATCTTCATACCTATCAATTTTCTTTCTTCTTTTCCTTTTCCTTTACTTTTTCACCCTCTCTACACATTCACCACCATAAACATATACTTTCTAAAAATCAAGTGCCCTTCTGGACCCCTTTTAATAATCACTAAGCCCTACAAAAGGCTCACTGAAATCTGACTCCTTCAAGTCTCCACATACATGTGTTATTCTATGCTGTATCATACAAATTTATAATTTCAGAAATATTTTAGAGATTGGAAGTTATCTGAACACTGGCAAAAAAAAAAAAAAACTGGAGAAGAAAACAAGAATGGTAAGGCTATTTGGTCAATTACGGATTGGCATCCTTGAACTGATTTATAGTGCTAAAACTGGACAGACACTGTATGGAATAAAGTAACTTACTTTCAATGTTTAAGTTTAGCTTTCTAAAATTAATCTTCACAAAAACAGCTAATAAATTCAAAAAGTCTAAGTATCATTTTGTTGAAGTAGTATAAAAAGATCCAAAAAGAGTACATCAAATTGGATCATGAACCCCTGAATACTTAATTACTGAGTACTTTAAATTTATTTGAAAAATTAAAACATAAAGAATTAATGGCACTGGATAGGTAAATATAAAGATTTGTTTTTAGGAAACTAAATATACTAAGTCATTAACTTTGAGATGCTTGAGTCAAACTATCACAACTAAATAGGGTCGGGGAAAAAAATCCAATGTCTCGTATAATTAGAAACAATCACAAAAAGCATCTCTAAAATACTATGCCAAGAATAAAACATACAGCTGAAAAAAAGGAAAAAAAAAGAAAAATGGAAAGAACTCAAAGAGTTTTTCTTGTCATAAAAAAACGAAAACAGGTAAAAATGTAAATATGTATAAATGAGTTTGTGTATGAGCAGGTGACTGGGAGGACAGTAAAATTAAAATTTCTTGGGCATTTATCAACAAAGTAGATAGTACTTCATCTCACTTCCTTCTTATAGTCATCTTATAAAGAAAGTTATCCCCTTTTTACAAAGAATAAAAAACTTTAAAGTTTAAAAGGTTATAATTCTGAGTCAAATTTTTCTTTCAATCTAACAATTGATAGTAACGAATAGTACAATATTAGGAAGACTATATCAACACATTCTAAATAGTTTCCTACCTCTTATCTGGCAGGGTGCTAAACAGTCAAATAAAACAAATCTTTATTGATAATTTTTTCAGAAACACAGAATATGATCTAAGAAATTATTCCATTATTTCCACTGCACAAACTGATTAAGAGCATCTCCCTTCAACACTTATGGCAAAATATGTCATCCCTGATTGAATCTTTTGCTAGAGATAAACAATACTAATGTTATATGAAAAAATAAAATCACAGCAACCAAATCCCTGAATACTCATACTTAAATGAAGTCCCCTAAAATCTTTATGGGGGCAGGAGAGACTAGTCCTTAATTGATGCCTTAAAGTGTCCCCTTTTCCATCTGCAAAGCAGCCAGCTTCCTCTAGAAACTCATTGGCACGCCCACACTAAAAAGGACAGCAGTTCTAAATGGTGCTTTATCTCAATGGCTTCTTACCTTCAACCTGTCTTGCATTTACCTGGCTAATCATCTCTATAAATTTATTTCCTTATGCAATTTCCTTCATTAAATTCAAAGGATTTTAGAATAGAAAAGACTCCAGAGATTACCCAAGTAGGTTACAAATAAAGAACTCACACTAAGGCATTAAGTGACTTGCTCAAGATCACAAGTAATGAGGCATAAAGATAATGATGCAATTTATTGACTCCTGTTTCAATGCCTTTTTGCGACCAATATAATTTTCCACTTTTTAATGGTAGTTAATAATGTAAGCATCATTCAGGGAACTTTAATTTCTGGGTCTCCTTTCAATTGTGATTGTTATTTTGGGCTATCATGGCAGTGGCATTTTTAAATTCCACAGGTGTATCTATGGGTGCAGTCAGGGTTGAGAACCACTGTTCTATAGTATTAAAATTCTGTTAAGATGCAAAGATGTTTTCTAACCTTAACTGAAATTTTACTGTTTACATACTACATATCTGATTTATAATCTTCTTTCTTCTTTCCCTATTCCTTTCCTCAAATCTGTCCTTTACTACTCCTATCTATCTCCTTATTAAGAATACTTTCACTCTTCTTGTTCTGGAAATACAAAAGACTACTAAAAAATAAGTAAATAAGTGCTATGACCAAGGTGTTTACATGCAGGAGATATAAAGTGTTTGAGTGCTTGTCAGAGGGACCACACTAACTCAGACTTACGAATAGAGTGGGTCTGGGACCAGAAAAAGTTTCCTGGAGGAGACAGAAGACAGTATATGAATTAAACCTGATGTATGAGACTTAGCCAGGTATTTGGTGGTGGCAGTTGTGGGGAGTCAAGTGGTATAAATATTACAATAGTTCAGTCTGAGAGAATCACAAGATGTATGAAAATGAGGACAAGTTATATACCTGGAGGAAGAACAGGCTTTGCCTTCTTGGTGCTAAGAAAGTATGAGACAAGAA